TCATTGGCAGGAGGATTCTTTACCACGGAGCCACCCAGGAAGCCCCCAGTTTGGTTTAGTGCTTGATTTTTCCACTCAAAAATATACATTCAGAACACAACATCATTAGGCAATATTTCTACCAAAAATATATTTATTAATCTTCATTTAGTCAGGAGAAAACAATCAGATGCATCCAAATTGGAACACACTGTGTAAAACAACTGGCTTTCCAAAATACCAGTGTTATCAGACTTTTCCACCCGTTGGTCACAGCGCAAGGCATGTGGGATATTAGTTCCCTGACCAGGTATCAAACCTGTGCCCCCTGGAGTAGAAGCACAGTCCTAATCACTGGACCACTGAGGAAGTACCTCAAAAGCTTTTTAAAAAGGATCAGAAACTGTTCTAGAGTAAAGGAAATTAAAGAGGTTACATTGCAAACACGATCCTTGAATGGATCTTGGGTTGAGAAAGCGAAAAGCTATGAAGGGTTATTACCGGAACAGCTGGGGACCTTGGTATGCAGATTGTGGTATTGTATTAGTATACATTTCTAATTGGGATCATTGTTTCATGGTTACGTGGGAGACTTGCATTCTTAGGAGACCCAGACTGAAACATGTAGAGGTGAGAAATCATGATGTCTGTAGTTCAGCAGAATACACATAGGAATTTAGGTGAAAGGTGTGTTAGTGGTCACTGCTATCCTTGCAGCTTTCCTGTAGTTTTGAAATATTTCCAAGTAAAAAGTTGGAGGGGAGGGGATAGTGTGAATAGCATTCACGTAAGTGTCTCCAGTTCTCCGAAAACTAGGATATCCAATAATAACCCATCAGACCAGTTTTCATATGTTAGAATTTGCCAAATCTTCACCACCACTGCAGTAATCCCTGGCATTTTTATTTTCCATGTGCCTCCACCATCTACTGTGTTACATTTATTATCACAAATAGTCTGTACACATAAAGAAGTTTGTGTCTCTAAGTACCACAATCACAATGAACTTTTAAAAAATGGCTCACCATATGCCAGGCACTGTTTTATGTGTTTCACACGAATGAGTGCATTCCATCCTTCTAGCCACTGGAAGGGGAGGTATTACTCATGGAGACAGAGTAAAGGGACAAAGCAAGTAATTAAAAAGTTAATCCCACTAGGGGACTGTAAGTAGAGAAAAAAGTATAGGAGACCCCTGTAAGTTAATGATCACTCAAGAAAGCAGGTTTGCTTAACTACAAAACCCAACAGGCTTGCTTAGCAACAGAACCATGCAACAGAAGCACAGTTTCATTACTGTCATTCTTAGTTTCAGAAAAGGAAACTGAGGCACAGAAAGGTGGGACAGTTTGCCCAAAGTCACACAGCCAGGGTCGGTGGAGGGACAGAGTGATGTGGCCTCAAGCCCTCCAGTGTTCGTCACCGTCCCCTTGACCACGCACTTTATTTACACTGTGAAATGTAATGGAGCTGTCATTCTAGAAGGATGGCTTCTGCTGCTCAAACTTTTACTTTTCTCTGAGGGGTTCTGGGTGTATGTTCATAGAGTAAAGGGTACTCCTTAAGAGAGGGAAAGATAGTAACAGCAACAACAAACTACCATCTTTGAAGGCTCATAGGCATTCAATGGGCCAGGCACAGGCAAGATGCTCTCTGCCGGTCTAGTCCTCAGAACCCCTTTGCGGCTGAAACTATTCTTATTCTCATTGAACAAAAAAAGAAAAGGTAAGCCCTGGCTTTGAAGGCAAGCAGACTTGCCCCAGGCCCCACCCAGGCTGCCTCGCCTCTCTACCTGTCATCTGAATGGGTCCGAAGGTAACTGAGCCCCATAGAATGTAGCCCGTGGGGTGATGGGCCTCACCCATCACCTTGTTCACCCCCTCAGTTCTAGGAGGGGGACATTTCAATGCTGAAGAGGAGGAGGAGTGGGAGAAGGAAGAAGAGGAAGAAAGCATTGTTTCCTTCCTCCTTGGGGCTTTTCATCTGGCTTGTGACATTCCATTCCCACCCCTCCTCTCATTTGCCATTTCATTGAGCAACTTGTTCTAACTGAATGCACCTGGGCAGAAACTCCTCCCCATATTGGCCCTGGTCAGTGCTTTGTCTCCCCCCCCCCCTTCTTTTATAAAAAATGAGGGGAGCCCCTGTTCCTTTAAGATGGAGGTGCTTGGTGAAGTTCCCAGGCAGATCAGCCAACCCTCCAGGAACTCCTCTGCCCTGGCCTGGCACTGAACTCACCTGCCTCCATGGGGGACAGCCAGCCGGCATGTATCTGACCTTGGCCTGAGGTCCCAGATGATTCTGCTCTGGGCATGTCAATCCCAGTCAAGGGCGAGGCAGAGGTATCCTTCAAAATGCCCAGCTCACCAGGAGCCCCCTTCCCCAAGGTGCAGGCTCACTCCCAAGCTTCCAGGACTGGGTAGTTTCTGTGCCCCTTCCTCACTAAATCAACAACTAATAAATCAATTTGCCCTTATAGATCAGCACAAGAGGCAGTAGAATAAAGTAGTTAAGAGCATGGATTCTCCAGCCAGACTCACTAGATTGTATCTAGGCTCGACCATATTAGCTTTGTGACCTTGGGCAAATTACTTAGCCACTTTAAAGTACTGGTTTCCCTTTCTGTAAAATGGGGGGAAATAATAGTATACTTATGGGGAAAAAAAAATAATGACTTACTCTCTCATCAAAGATGCACCATCTTCTTAACAGAACAGTCCTACTCATTAATTCTGAAAGTACAGAAACATCCAGGACAGAACTGGTTTTTGGTTATGTACTAACTTCAAAAGCTATGTTTTTAGTCCTCTGCCATGTATGCTTCAACATGTTTGCCTCCCCTTAACTTCATATCTAATTTTCATAATTTTAAATACACTGTTCTCTTTAACAAAAGAGTGCAATGCAATGATTAGTTAGCTCAAGAAACTTCTTGCTTGTATTTCTAAAGAAGTAGAAGACTTACAAGATCAGAGAAGGTACATAGCCCACATTCACACTGATACAACAAGAACTCTTGAATTTAAAAATTTTTACACATTACTAATAAACCACTTTTCATCTTGCCAGTTGGTAGTTTTTTTTTTTAAGTAGATATCTAATGTTTGTTCATTAGTTTGGTTCAGCCTTTCAGCAGGGAAATTTGGTAATAAGAACTGTATCAAAAGCCTTAGAATGTTTCATAACTTCAGATTGAGAAATTTCACTTCTAGAAATTAATTCACTTCTAGAAATAATCATGAGTGTGCACAAAAATACTACCACAAAAATATTTTACAGTATTATTTCTAATAGGGAGGAACTAGAAACTACCTAAATTTCCAATAATACAGCTTTGGTGAGATACATTATGCTATATTCACTTAATGGTTTACTAGGTAGTTATTTTAAAAAGTTATAGAATATTTAATGAGATGGAAAAGTGCTGACAGTATACTTTTTCGTGGGAGAAAAACCAGCTTACCAAAAAGTTTGCAATAATGTCATTCTTAAAAATATGTTTATTCATAGAACAATTTTAGAAAAATAAACATTGTCATTTTAAAGAGTTATCTGGCCAGCTGATGCAAGGAGCCGACTCACTGGAAAAGACCCTAATGCTGGAAAGATTGAGGGCTGGAGGAGAAGGGGACAACAGAGGATGAGATGGTTGGATGGCATCACTGATTCATTGGACATGAATTTGAGCAAACTCTGGGAGATAGTGAAGGACAGGGAAGCCTGGCATGCTGCAGTCCATGGGGTCCCAAAGAGTTGGACACGACTTAGTGATTGAAGGACAAGAACAGTCTGGATGGTGAAACTGCCAGTACTTACTGTTTACTTTCTTGTGCGACATTGGTATTTTCTGTCTTCTACAGTGCATTGAATATTTCCATGGTATGCAAACAACAAAAAATGTATAAAAAAGAACAATTCATTGGGACAATGCTTAGCGCAGGACTGATCTCTTTCTATAGTGTCATTTCTCTAGTAACTCACTTCCTAAGTGTCTTGCCTCCTTGGAGGACCCCAGGAGCGGCAGGGATCCCCATGGCCTCCTGCCATTTGGATCATTACTGGAGGCTTGTGGTGTGTTTGCCTCCTGGTCACGCAGAATCCAGCTTTGGAGTCACTGCAAAGTCCCAAAGCTTGGGAGGTAAAAGTGGCCCCTGGAAGATTTGATAAAAATCTGAGCAAGAAACTCCTCCAGAAAGGAGCTAGTTTCTCCGCCCATCATTTCCTCACACGGAAACTAAGGCCAACGTCAGGGTTTGTCCAAGGCCACGCAGCCGACTTAATGACAGACAAGGTGAGGCCTTGAATCCTTGACCCTTCTGCCCTGTTGTAGTTCTCAAGCTTGCAGATTTAGGACTGTCTCTTCTCACACTTTAATATGCACAGGAATCACCAGGGATCTTGTTAAAGGCAGATTTTGATCAACTAGGTCAGGGGATGGGCCTGAGGTTCTGCTTTTCTGACCGGCTCTCAGGCGATGCAGATGTTGCTGGTTCGGGGATCAGTTTAAGTAGCCATGGGGTACAGCAGAGATTCTGGAGGCGGACCGTCGGCTTCCCAATCCTAGCTCTGCCGCAGACGAACTATTATAGTTATTGCTTCAGTTCTCTCAACTGCAAAATCAGTATAAGACCTCACCCACAGCTTCTTCATTAAAATTTTAATAAGTGCTCAGACCAGTCTCACCTAACATCTAGCTATTTTGTTATTATTTACTTTCCCTAGAGCAAGCAGCGGGTGAAGTAGGGTTTGACGAATGAATGAATAAGCTTTGGGAGCGACTGGAGTCGGGAGAAGCAAAAATGGAAGGGCTCGGAGGTGGGGGGGAGCGGGGAGAGGCCCACCTCCAAAGCACACTCCTCTACCACGGGGTGGTCAGAAGGATCCGGAGCGCCCGGAAGCCGGCGGCCCGCGCCCAGCGGACCAATGCGGTCGCCCCGGGGGAGGGGGGAGCGCCCGCCAGCCCTTTCCGTCCGGGCGCCGGAGGCCCCGCCCCCGGAGCGTCGCGACGTCTGAGCATTCCACGGTTGCTACTCGGTCGCGAGGGGCGGGGCGCCTGTCAGGGGAGCGGCGCGCGCGCGGCGGCGGGGGCGGGCTGAGGCTCGGCCGCGCAGTGCCAGCGCCAGCGCCGGAGCCAGCGCCACAGTCTCGCGCCCCGCGCTCTCCGGCCCGCCGCCTGCGTTCTGGCTCCCGAGCCCGCACTCCCGCCCTGCCCGCGCGCTGCCCGAGGATGGAGCTGCTGTGCTGCGAGGGCACTCGGCACGCGCCCCGGGCCGGGCCGGACCCGCGGCTCCTAGGGGACCAGCGTGTCCTGCAGAGCTTGCTCCGCCTGGAGGAGCGCTACGTGCCCCGCGCCTCTTACTTCCAGTGTGTGCAGAGGGAGATCAAGCCGCACATGCGGAAGATGCTGGCGTACTGGATGCTGGAGGTAGCGCCCGGGCGGGTCTCCCCTCCCCCGTCACCCCCGCGTCCCGGGCTCCGGACATCCCGGGGCCGCCCTGTCGGGACATCCTGGTCCTCAACAACAATCAGCAAGATGTTTCTGTGGCGCAGATCGCCAGGGCCTGGACTTTTCACTCGCGCGCCCTTAGCCGGCTGCCTCCGTGCTGTCTTTTTCTTGCCCTTCTCTGACCCTGACCCTGACCGCCAGGCGTTTGGCACCCCCGAATAACCCTGTCTTCGGGCCGGGAAAGCGGGGCGAGGGCCACCTTCTCCCCTCTGACTTCTCAAAAATCTCCCCCTACTCCACGCCCGGTCTTCTCGGGAGAGCGCGACTGGAAAACCCTGGGCTCGGCCGCCCCCGCCGCAGAGCCGGTTCCTCGTGTGTGTCGCGGGGGTTCTGGCGGGGAAGCCGGTGGGGGTGGCGCGCTGTTCCGGCCGTCAGGGAAATGAAAAGTGCGGGAGGCAGCCGCTGGAGTCTCCTCCCTTCCTTTTGGGTGTGTGCGCTGGGTGGCAGTAATGGGGGTAAGGTCCCAGTTCTCTGGCTCCTATGGGTGACTCTTCCGAACCCCTCACGCTCGGTATTCGGAGGGGGGGGGGATCAGCCTCAGTTTGGATTCCTGAAGGAAGGGAGCCTCTGGCGTATCCTCGGGGAAAGGAGGCACCGCAGAGGAAGTGGGAGGGTGTCACCTTGGGGAAGGAGCATCCTGCGTGTTAGTCCTTGTCACTGCTAGTACACCTACCCCCTCCCGTGTCTTGCTCCCCATTCCACTTCCCTTCAGCGCACCGCACCCCCGACCCCCACGCCTTTAGTTGCTGCTGCGTTTCCTAAGCTTCTGCCCCCGAAGTGACTGTGCGCCCTCCCTCAGGTGTGTGAGGAGCAGCGCTGTGAAGAGGAAGTCTTCCCCCTGGCCATGAACTACCTGGATCGCTACCTGTCCTGCGTCCCCACCCGAAAGGCGCAGTTGCAGCTCCTGGGTGCGGTCTGCATGCTGCTGGCCTCCAAGCTGCGCGAGACGACGCCCCTGACCATCGAAAAACTGTGCATCTACACCGACCACTCTGTGTCTCCCCGCCAGCTGCGGGTGCGTGCATACCCTCCCCACCCCCCCAGCACCCCCTGCCTCCTTCCTCCCTTACCGAGAAGAGGAAAGCTAAGACCTCCGGAGGCTTCCTGCTCCTGGGCAGGGTAGCAGCTTTTTTTTTTCTTTTGCAAAAGATGGGACAGTGTGGTGTGATGGTCAGGGTAGCCCCAGTTCAGGCTTCCCTGCCAGCATGAACCAGATCCCCTTGTCTTGACCTCCAGGGGGTGCCACTCCTTCCTGGTCTTTCCCCCAGATAGCAACAAGTCAAACTGCATGTCTACACTCACTAGTACTTTGCCTCTGGGTTTACACAGCCACCATGAGTTATTTATTGGCAGCAGCAGGACATGCCTGTGCACCCCCACTAGAGTGGGGGAGTGGAATGTGCTTCATGTGGGGGAAGGGGCCGCCCTGGTTGAGTCTTGTCTCCCAGTGTGTGGACTTTGTGATCAAAAAGCCTCCCAGAGCCGATTAAAGCCAGGCCCCAGCTGCTGTAAGGAAGGGCCGAGGAGTTCAACCCCACTTTGCTTCCTTCCTTCCTTTTATATCCCAGGAGAACCAGCTCCTTCCCTCATCCTCCATTCCCTAGTCTCACCCTGAGAAACTCTGCTCTCAGAAGCAGCTGCTTCAGGCCTGGTGGAATCATCTTTTCCCCTTTAGCCAAAGGCCAGTGCTGAGGCACAGACTGGGGCTGAACTGCAGCTGCTTCCGATGTGATAATGATGCCCTCTCCCCGGCCCACCCACCCTGACCAAGGTCTTTCATAATCCTGTGGGGAGCTGCTGTCACTCCTGTGGTTTGGGAAGTGGCTCCCTGGGCCTCTTGCTGGGAACTTGGGCTGGGCTCTTCCCGAGGCAGGGCAGTGGAGTCATGGTTCTCTTTCCCCACTGAGCCTGGAGAGGAGGTGGGGAGTTGCTTGGATCTGGAAGAGGTTATTTGGGGGCGTGCAGATCATCTCCTGGGGGACCCAGGGGAGAGGGGTGAGCTGGCACCTTCCTCCACCTTGCTCTACAGCAGTCGAGTCTGCTCTTGACCCGAGAGGCGTCTCTGGGCCCCATCTCCCGGGGAGGAGGGCAGCGTGCTGGCTGCTGTGATTGGCTGGCCAGGAAAGCCAGGGTACTGGGGCCCCTGAGTGCTGCTTGTCGGGGAACGGGATTCCTCTTCCTGCCAAGTAGCTCTCGGAGATGGGAGTAGGAGGCCAGAGTTGGGAATCTGGGAGGCTCCACAGCTCTTTGTGATGAATCTGGTAGTTTTGGGCAAGTCTGAAGGTGGAGCTGGTTTCCAGGGCTAGAGAGCAAGATGTTTCTGGAGGGGTTTGGGCTGGTGGAAGGGGACGTCCTTTTTGCGAAAAGATTAGCATGGGATGTGTGCCTTTATGTGAGGGCAGTTTTTCAGAACAGGCCAAAAGTCCTCTCCTCCCACTCCCCCTGCCTGAGCTGGGGGTGGAGCGCGCAGATCGATGACTTCCTAGAAGGTCAGAGTTGGAAGGGACATCAGAGACCAGTCAGTCCAAATAATCCTGTGTGACAGAGAAGGTGGGGGCCCAGAGGAGGAAGGAAGGGTCGTGGCTTAGTGTTGCACTGAGGGTGATGAGGTGTTCTAGGGCTCAGGTGGCCTAAGAGGTTAGGGATGGGATGGAAGCTGCCAGGGGTGTGTTCTCTATCAAGTGAGGACTGAGGTTCTCAGGGGCTGCCCAGATAGAGGGTAAGGTGGCCACTCTCCCCCGACGCAGGACCCTATGCCTCTCGACTCCGAGCTGCCTTTCAGATGGTTTCCTTGGATGCTGGATGCTTTTTGTTGCCTTCTGAGTTAGGAGTTTGACCCCTGGGACAAGCACAGGGAGTAGAATGCTAACTTCTCTGCCCAACTTCTTCTGGCTCCAGGCCAGGTTGATTTCTGTGAGGCTTTGCCAGACGCTGAAGATCATGACACTTAGGTGGGGGCCAGCAGAGGGGCAGCTGTGGCAGGGGGCTGAAAAGAGATTGGGTGGGGTTGCCATTTCTACTCCACTAAGGGTCAAACCCATGAGTTCCTTCCTGAGATAAAACAATGAAGAAATCCTCCTGTGTGCAACTCAGAAATGGGGCCAGGGCTGGGAACCCCAGAGGAGTGGATTGGGTGGGGCTCCCAGTGTCCTTCCAGGACCCAGCAGTAGCAGGGAGGCTGGGACCAACGGAGAGATGGTTTGGCCCCTCAGGGATCACCTGGACCCATCCTGTCTGCCTTGACCTCCACTTCTCCCCCTGAGACTCAAATGACACTAGGCCCTATGGGTTTCAGCCAGAGAGGTGGAATGGGTTGCTCTATTTCAGCCCCCCACCCCAGTGTCCTCCCAAGGGGATGTGGGTTGGGTTGGGCAACCTCCACTTTGAGGAACCTCAGGGCTGGCCCAGGGGCTGTGTCAGAGGAGGAAGGGCCTCATGCTTACCCTAGTTTCTTCAAGAGGTGTAGACTTGGCGGGCATGCTTAGTTGGGGAAGAGGCTAGCGATCTCCCCTTTCACAAATCCTTGGGATTATGGGAGTCTTTCTGCTTCACACCAGAAAAGCTTCCAGTTCCTGGTGATGGTGGTCTGCAGACTTTGCTTTCAACCATGACTCAGAGTCTCGCAGGAAGTTGAGAGAAGGCCTGGACTGTTGTACCCCAAAAAGATAACCCGGCAGGATTAAAAGAGGCAATTTATGTAAAGCATGTAGTTCTGGCATCTAGGAAGTTGATCAATGGATGCTCAAAGCAAGTGCCCTTAGCACTTAGTCCCTGCCCTGGACTCCCCCCATTCCACAGTGCCAGTCCTGAAGTTCAAAAGCAGACCTGGAGTCTTGACCTTCAAGTGTGATGAGCTTGGCTCCCTGTGAGACTTCCACTTTACTTCCTCCCCCTTCCCTTCTTCAGCCACTGACTCCGCTCTCTTCCTCTGCCTCCAGGATTGGGAGGTGCTGGTCTTGGGGAAGCTCAAGTGGGACCTGGCCGCAGTGATTGCCCATGATTTCCTGGCCCTGATTCTGCACCGGCTTTCTCTGCCCCGCGACCGACAGGCCTTGGTCAAGAAGCACGCCCAGACCTTTTTGGCCCTCTGTGCTACAGGTAAAGAGTCCCACACACATGTGCCAAGCCAGGGAAATCAGAAGACTTGGAAAGGTGAGAGGGAACTAGAAGATTCGGTTTATAACCTCAAAATTTGAGAAAATTCTATCCTCCCTGAGCCCCCAATATCAATATGGAAAAGCAGCAGAGCTGTCTGGGATCTCAGACACACCACCGTCGCCCGAGTATGTAGGTGGGGACACCAAGGGCTTAGAGAGAAGTGACTTGCCCAGGCTCTGTTAGTGACTAAGCTGGGAGTAGAACCCAGGTCTCTTAACCTTGTGTCCATACCAGGAAGAGACCCATTCCCTCTGGTTCCTGGCCTGGATCACTTACTGCCCTGACCCTCTCCCCGGCTGCTGTCTTACACCACTCACTGCCGGGGTGTCCCAGTATACCCATGCTCTATTCAGACAGCCTGGCACTTTCTAGGAATTAAAAGGTGCACGCTGGTATTCATCCTTGCCTCATGGTCCCTTCTCTTTCCTAGACTACACCTTTGCCATGTACCCGCCATCCATGATTGCCACGGGCAGCATCGGAGCTGCAGTGCAAGGCCTGGGTGCTTGCTCCACGTCTGCGGACGAGCTCACGGAGCTGCTGGCAGGGATCACAGGCACTGAAGTGGTGAGTGCTGGGCAGCTGGGCGAACGCCCTCTGCTCCCAAGATAGCACTTTCCCCTGAGCTTCCAGCAGAGGGTGCTGTGGACCACCCCCAACCTGGTCTCCACTCCAGGTTTCAAGTGCCCCACCTTTGCGGCTTCTGTGGTCTTTTATCTCCTGCCTTGGTCTGGAGAAGAGCAAGTGTTGCGGGTGGGCCAAAAGGCACTGCCCCTGAGTACCCTTTTCTTGCTAAGCAATGTGCAGGAGTGGGGGTGGGGGGTTCAGTGTCAGATGTCGGGCTGCTCTCACACCCTCTTGCCACATCCTCTTGCCAGTTTCTGAGAACTGAAGGCTGATTCCTGGGGTTGGGCTGTGGCCTAACCTCCCTAGACTTCCCTGTGTGCTGGGAGGTGTCCTTCTGTACCTGCTGCCAGATGCTGGGGGAGGGGGGGTGGCGGGGGGTGGGAAGCGGATCTTCCTCACCACTCCCCCTTGTCCCCAGGACTGCCTGCGGGCCTGTCAGGAGCAGATTGAAGCTGCCCTCAGGGAGAGCCTCAGGGAAGCCGCCCAGACCTCTCCCAGCCCAGCACCCAAAGCCCCCAGGGGCTCCAGCAGCCAGGGGCCCAGCCAGACCAGCACTCCCACAGACGTCACGGCCATCCACCTGTAGCCCTGGAGAGGCCCCCTCGAGTGGCTGCCGACAGCAGGAGGGGACCCTGCCACCCACCTCCCTGGCTGCAGGAATGGTATCATGCCACAGCTGAAGCCTGAGGGGGCTCCTTCCCCTTGCCCCTCGCCAGCCACAGGGGTCAGGTCCTACCTATCCCTGCAGTGTGCACTAACGGGCCTGGCCGGCCACGGCTGGGGGCCAGTCCGGCTCCTCCTCCTGCCTGCACCCAGCCAGCTCAGCTCTCCTGGGGGTGGGCCGGGCTGGCCAGAAATGACATTGAATTGTAACACATGTACCAGCATTCCTTTCCAGGGGCTCCCTTATCTCTGGGGCTCTCAACTGCCAAAATTGAACCTGAGCCCCTGGCAGAGAAAGCTCGGAGTCCTAACCACTGGACCGCCAGGGGATTCCCTAATTACTGCATTTGGATTGGGGTCTTTCTGAAGACGACTCAGATGTCCTAGACACGCGTGAGGGGCAAGAGTGGACATCCCCTCTCCGAGCACTTGGAGGCCCTGCATAATCCTAGCTGCTCCTAGGGAGGGGCCCCGCCACCGTCCAGGGGCAGGAACCAACCTCCTCGCTTCGCTTTCTGCTCAGCTTCTCCTGTGTGATTGGGGGGAGGGGGGTGTCAGTGCGGAAGGAAGTTGTTTTAATTTATTAATTACTTTGAGTACAACTGTATGAGGGTGTGGTGGGGCCCTTCTCCCCCCGCTGCAGGGGGAGTAACCCTGGTGGTTGCTATATTCCTCCCCTCTGCTACTCGCTAGAGGATCTCGTGGCCAAGGAGCTGCTATGCCTGGGGTGGGGCCATGCCCTCCTCTCCCTTTGGCCCTCTGCCCCATCCCCCAGGAGTCGGGGGGCGTTGCGGAATGAAGCAGGGGATGACCTGGCCATGACCAAGCCCCCTGTCTGGAGAGGGAGGCAGGCCCTGTTAACACAGGTCTTTCCTGAGGCCACAAGGTCCAGGCTGGTGGCTGAGGACCATCATGCTACCTTTATAATAAAGATTCTGGAATAAAACTGACTTTGGCTTTTGGATTAGAGGGCAGTCTGTGGGAAAGCCTATTTCTAGACTGCATGGAGTAAAAGAGGATAAAAATCAATGTCTGGAGCAGAGGTCGTCACACCTTTTCTGTCTTAGGCCAGAGTAGATACTTCAGGCTTTGTGGGCCATTTGGTCTCTGTCTGTGATATCCTAAGTTGGGCTGTAGAACCTGATGTGCGCATTTCTAAAAATCACTGCACCATGCAAAACTGCACAATTAAAGCCACATGGCTTATGGGGAAAATGGGGCTTGAGACACAATACTCAAATATTTAATGGACACTTTTTTTTTTTAAAAAGATAGTGTTTTTACACATTAAATAGCTAAGAAACACACACTGCAATAAATATGGCCCTTTATCTTGAAAAACAAACACCTGAGGTTGGCTGTGGAAGTGGAGGTCGGAAGGATGTGGAAGGCAGGTTGTGACACCAGATGAGGGTGTGGCGCCAACCCACAAGGTGAGCTAGGGGCGTTGGCACAGGTCTGAGGTATATGCATTTTGTGTTATCATCTGGCTTGGCTCAGTGGGGGTAGTTTTTTGCTTTCATCTAGCGTCTCAAGACAAAATTGCATATAAATAAAATTTGCTTTACCACCAAATAGAGTAATTAGGTTGGAACAAACTCATATTTGCAAAAGCAAGTAACAGGGTTCTAGCCAGATGGCACTGGTCTCTGCTGCAGTGACAATGAAAGCAGAGAACATGGAAGTGGATGGGTGTGGCTGTGTCCCAATAAAACTTTATTTAGGGACACTGAAATTTAAATTTCAAATAATCTTCACCTATCACAAAATACTGTTGTTTCTTCTCTGCCTCCCCCAACAACCATTTAAGATGTAAAAATCACTTTTCTCTCATGGACTATAAGAAAACAGGCATACACAACCCTGGTTTGCCAACCCCTGGTTGAAAGCTTTCACTGGCTAAGAAAGTTAGAAAGGGAACTGGTCTGGTGGTGTCTGACCTTTCTCATCCTGAATTTCCACCTCCCTCTAGGTGCTTGCTTCTAGCTCTTCCAACCAATCTGAGACCTTCTCGTGTTTGAACAACCTCCTGGTTGCTGGCATTCTCCCCAAGTAGCTTGTGTCAGGGGAAGGCAAAGGCTGTGCCCTCTAGAGGCTGGCAGGGTGGGTAGAGCCTAGAGAAGACTCATAGAATAAGGTGGGGGAGGTGTGTGGCTCCCATGTAAATAGGTAAGAATCCACTGCTACACATGAGAGGGAAGCAGTGCCCACCTCCAGCGAAGCAGTGCTTGCTTCCAGCGAAACAAGGAAAGCAAAGATCTCCATCCATCACATCAAAACACTGAGGTTCAATAAACACCTGCCTTTTGTCTTTATCCACCTCCCAGCGACCTGCCACAACAGCTGGAGAGGAAGGACCCATTACGACCCTCGCTGGGACCTGGGAGTGCTGGGCTGTGGGACCTCAAATCAGGTCCCAGAACTGAGCAGGGATGCAGGCCTAGTACACAAGAGGGAACCAGCCCTACTCAGGCCCCCCTATCGAGAACTGGGGAGTCAGAGGCCCGCGACCTGTCTTGGCCCTGATCCGGGTCTTCAGCTGCCAAGGCTCAGAGTCACCTCCAGTCACCAGCAGGGATCCTGGAGTCCTTCCACGCTCCGCAGACCCGGACAAGCGCTGCGTCCTCACTCCATGGTGACGGGAACATCTTCTACATCTCGGGGGACGGCACTCTGCAACTCACGCCTGATCTCCGGGGACAGCTGCGGGTGGGGCTGCAGCCGGAGCAGTTCCAATAGGGCCTCCTTCTGCTCCGTGGCCAGGTCGGCCTTGTAGCGCTGGACCAGGGTCAGGAGGCACTGGTGCCACAGCACAGGCAGCTCCCGCTTCTCCGTCCGGAAGCCCAGGAAGTGGAAGACCAGGGCGTCCAGCACTCGGTAGGGCAGCGCGTACTTCTTGTCCAGCAGCAGCCGCAGGAAGATGCTGTTGGCCCCGCTGTACTCCATCTCGGCGATTTTCAGCATGGCCGCACTAGTTGGGAAGGGAGGCAGGGAAACGCTGGGGGAAAGCTCCTCCTTACCCCCGTCCCGCGCCCCTAAACTCTGCTGTCCCTAAGGGGAAATCTCTGCATTCTTCTCCCCTCCCCTAACTCCCTCGACCTGTTACCAGGGCCACGCTGACTCATGCCAAATCCCCACCTCTGGCTCAGGCTGCTTCTGTCTCAGAGTGTATCCAAATGTCTCCACCCCAACCTACTTTCTTCCCATGTTCCCCATCCTCTCATTCATTCAACTCTTTACTGAGAATGTGCCAGGCTCTGGGACCTTGTTCCCATGGGACTGACGCTCCTGTGGAGTTATCATATACCCATCGACTTAACTGAACTGCAAACCCAAGAGCTTATGCTTGACTCCTTCCCCCCACTGTGCTCCCATCCCACCCCAAGTCCTGGGACTCTGCTGTCTGAAGATGGGCCGATCTGTGGCTCTGCACCCCCCAAGACTACCTGGAGTGCAGCACGGGGATGGAGCACTTGGTGATGATGCTGCCCACAATGATGGCTTCCCGGAGGGTACAGGTGCCCGACTCGCACAACGGGATCAGGATGCCTGGGGAGGGGCACAGAGGCACGGTCACTCGCAGTCCAGAGTGAGAGAAAGGAGGTAATGCAGGAGCTCCAGCCCCGCCCTTTCTTAATCGCCTCCTGGGTCCCCACCTTTAAACCAGGCTCCAGGCTTGAACAGGGCCTTCTTCAGGGCCATGTAGAGGTGGAAGTTGAGTCGTTTGTACTCAGCAATGTCATCTCGTACCCGGGGGAGCAGAACCAGGTTATAGAAGCGCTGGGCCATCCGTTCCTTTAGGTTAGAGGCGAAAATCCTAGTGGTTTTGGAAGGAAGGGGGACGACCCCAGGTTACTTGACAGAGTTGGCCCTTCAAATATCACTGTGGATGGTATTTGCATGCAAGAGATTGGATGATCCGGGGTGGGTGCGTGTAGCTCCCAGGTCAGATTAGAGAGGGAACAGGAGGGGCTGCAAGATGTACCTGAATGGGGTTAACGCTGTCCGTCTTCGGGCGAGCCAGAGCTCTGCAGACAGACAGGAACCAGCTGTTCACCTTCCCCTCTCTATCAGGGGTCCCCTGTATCCTGCTGTGACTAGGGACCTGCACACGCCTGGGGAGCCACAGACTTTTGAGGCCACCCTGACACCGCAGGGTTGTGTCCCTGTAGTTAGGAGCCTCTTCCCCTAGAAACTCATCACAGGACGTTTTTAACAGGATCTTGGCCCCAGAACAGGAAACAGGAAAAGCTGGGGAAGTGATGCCATAAAGCAGCAGAAGAGAGAGCTCTGGGAGGGAATGTAAAGACAGAGGGAGGGAAAGCCTGTTCTTTCCGCACCTGGCCCTTCCTACAGACCCAAGGCTGCCCCGACCCGCATCAGCCCTACCTCGTGGCCTGGTACATGGCAGCAGCGGTCCAGGCCTCAGGCTCTGTGACGTAGAGGATCTGCTCCCAGTTGGAGAGTGCAGGGATGATCTTAAAGGCCTTGGGCAGTTTCCCACTGCGGTACTTAGACAACACCTGGGCAGGAGAGAACAGAACCCTCATCGTCACTGACGTACACACTGCTTGTCAGGGCCCCATCTGAGTTCCTCGTGTCCATTAACTCACTTAATCCTCACAACCATCCTGTGACGAGGTTCTAGTATCATCCTCATTATTCAGTGGGGAATTGAGACTAGAGTCATAAGCTGGGGAGCAGGACCCCTGAGCCCGCCCGCAGCCTATAAGAGATGTGGGCCTCGAGAGCCCTGGTGGGGGTGTCCGGTCATGGCTCTCCTCAGTCCTTACTTACCTCCCGAACCCCTCTGTAGACCTCTAGGACGCGGGGGTCCAGCTGGGGCACAGGGAAGCCTGATACCTCGGACATGACCGTTTCGACTTCCGTCTGCTTCTCAGTTAACTTCTCCATGATGATGTCAGCCAGGGTGCGCCTGGGGGAACAGGAGGGAGGGAGGGGGCAGCAGGGCCGTGTTCTCAGTCTAGGGAGCTCTGGACGCCCCACGCCGTCTATCAAGAGCCCTCATAAACCTGCAACCTTGCTGGGATGCGTGACTGAGGTCTACTCTGCTGGGCCTACCCCCCCAGCAGAGAATCCCTGCAGAGCACAAAGGACCCGGCAGTCATTCAGCTGAGGATGGAGCTGCATGGAGGGGAGGAATCTGGGCTCTGAAGGCGACTGCTGGGTTCAGGTCGTGGCTCCTCCGCTCCCTGCGTGACCTTGGGCAGGCTACTCTGCCTCTCTAAGCCTCAGCTCCCTCCCCTATAAACAGGGATGATAACATGCCTACCTGCATAAAGGTAACACATGGAGTAAAACCCTGCTCTGACCTCTTCAGAGTGCCAGCCACACCTCAGTGACATACCTGTGATATATTTCTGGCAACTGGGATCAATAGGGAGAGAGCACGGCATACCCTTTCCCCTGTTTCAATTTATTAAAATTGATAGGGAGAGGTCCAAGATGATGATCTGTTTATCCCAGCCTCCTTACACACAATCTGACTGTGATGATTCACAATTATCATCACATTGGGCTTCGGTACGATAAAGGCATCTTCAGGGGCTGCTGAAGTCTATTTAAAAACCACTCTTTGGAGGGCAGGACTTCCCAGATGTCCCCTTCCGCCACAGCACTATAAAGCAATGTATGGCAGAAACCAGACGTACCCTCATACCATCTGTGCAACAGACATGGTAACCGATAGGCAGAGGGGTCAGGAACCCACCCATGGTCTCTCAGTTCTTGAGTGGGGGAAATAGTCAAAGCCTGTCTTTCAAGGTCTGAAGGTCAGGTACCTTACAGTATATACGTGCCCCCAAGCTCAGCGGCCTCTGACTGCTGAGTCCACGTGGGTCTAGCCGGCTGTCACCCCTCAAGACTGTCAGGAGCCCCTGTTCCTAGCAGTTTTTCTCTTCTGTTGAAAACCATCCTGGCAAGCTTGTCAGAATGAGCTGCCAAAGCAGAGTTACAGGCGCTGAGTGAGAGCCTGAGAGCCTCTCTGGAGAGACCCGCACATGTGCCGT